GGCAGCTTCCTTTGGCTGAGGGTAATTTCCCTGTGAGAGCAAGGCTCACCCATCATTTGCTATAAGCCCTCTAAGATCTGTTCATTATGATGCCAATACCTATAGTAATTTCAGTCAAACTTCAATCAGCTACCCAACTTTTTAATTTATTGCTGACAAACGTCTTAGTGACTAAATGTTTAACTACACTGGCTAGAAACACTAGCATTAAGAGTAAATAATCTTTTAAAAAATCAAGTTCAAACTTTATATATGCAAGAGAACATATTTCTTGGGTAAACTCATCTATATAAGAAATCTATTTACTTTTCATATGTTTTACTCTTCTTTTCCCAAATCAAAATTATCCTCTATCCCTGAAGAGAAAGTGAACAAATGTATGTCCTTCTAGTAAAAGATTGCTGAAGTTTAATAGTGTCCAGAGTTGCTGACTTAGGGAACAGATTAAAAATTACCATTTGGTTTCAGTATTTGCCTAATTAACTCTTACCTACAAAACTGAGAATCCACATTCTGGTCAATCATTTGCAATCTTTGGACATTCATATTACTTAAGTTACAGTCAACCAGTCAACAAGTATTTATTGCTCTGCCAAACTGATGAAATAAGCATAGCAATAATAATAAGTTCCTTTTAGGGTCATGTATTCTAGAACGAAACATTAAAAAGAATCATTACTTGTATAAAGACAAAAATAATATTAAGAAAATGTTACTTGAAAGGCTGGTAAATGTTTTCTTTTTCCCCCTCACCCTAGAAACATCAAAAGAATGTCTTCAAGATTTATTTATTAAGGAACCATGATTCACCTAGGATACACAAAAGACAATGACTCTTAAAGAATTTTGTATTGGGCGCCTAGGTGGCTCAGTTGGTCAAGCGACTGCCTTTGGCTCAGATCATGATCCTGGAGTCCCAGGATCGAGTCCCGCATCGGGCTCCCTGCTCGGCAGGGAGTCTGTTTCTCCCTCTGACCCTCCCCCCTCTCCTGCTCTCTCTCTCTCAAATAAATAAATAAATAAATCTTTAAAAAAAAAAAAAAGAATTTTGTATTAATTTGTTGTTAAATGAAATGGTAAACTAATAAGTGCCCCTTGTAGTTTCCTGCATTTTTCAGTTGGGATTATAATTAAATGAATTTATATGAGTTCACCATGTTTAAAACAATAAAACCCAGATATTGTAAAAGTTTAAATTTTAAAATTTTAATGAGCTATAGCTTAAACTAATACTATCTTTGTGCTACATTTCTAAATCTTAATTCCTGAAAACATTTTCTCTTTCGGAAAAATAACACATTAAATTTTAAAAATTAAAAAAAAACACCACAGGGGATTTTTAGGGCAATGAAATCATTCTGTAGGATACTACAATGGTGGACACACGTCAATCTTCATTTATCAAAGCTCACACAATGTACAACACTATGGCAAAACATTACAGACTTTAGTCAGTAAGAATGGGTCATGAATTGTGACAAATGTACCACACCAAAGCAATACTTAATAATAAGGATAACACAGGGGTCAGTGGGAACATGAGAGGGTATAATGTGAACTCTGTGCTTGCCACTCCTTTCCCTGTAAACTTAAAACTACTCAAGAAAAAATAAAGTCTATTAAGTAGAAGGAGGAAGAGAAAACTCAAACAACATGATCATCTTACCTTTGTATTGGTTGAACACCACCATCGAGATTAATCAAGTATTCTCTTTGTCATCAGCTACAAATTTAAATAGTTTTAGAAATTATGCCATTATTGACAAGGTCCGATACAACGAATCTTATCAAGCACAACCACTATTACCTGTATTACTCATCGGCTCCATTTAGTGTGTACACCTGTACCTTTGGTCCAGTTTGAGGCTTAAAATGACAGTGATAACAGGTCAAAAAGTGGGTGCAGATGTTCATCCAGATTATAAATCCAACACATCATACTCATCAATCGTAGAAAGAAGGCACATGATGTAAAGTAGGGCACTGGGGGAAGCTGTCAGCATTATAGGACAACTATGGGAATCCAGAAGTTTGATTTCAAAGGCATTTTTAAAACTTCTTAGTTTTTATAATATAGGGTAGAGAGTGATGGCTCAGTCATTAACACCTATGCAATTTTTCCTAAGCAGTGAAGGAAAAAAAGAGAAATGTTTCAAAGGAGACGCGAGTGCTGGGTGTTACTTGGCATTCCCAAACCTGAGATTTTTGACTCGGGTTCCATTTAGAGCTGTCTGATGGCCTTAACCTAATGCCAAAGGCACAAGTGTCCAGACCGCAGAAGTTATAAATTTTTTAGTCAGAATTTGCTATGAAAACCCAAGTCTCCACAAGAGAAACCTGGAATGCAAAGAATGCTTCAAATAAAATATCAATCCATCAAGACGTATCTGTGGTATATCCACTATGCGTCTAACACAGAAATAATTCTCACACTAAAAAGCATTTTAGAAGTATTGATCCACTGGTGTCATAGGTATGTTGATAATTCGTAAATAGAACATAGACCTCGGAAAATGTTTCACAAAAATAAAATTATGTTCCCAGTAGAAATATGTTCAAAATATGAACTAAATTGTAATAGCTACTTCAACAGTGAAGGAAACCAAAAATTCAGGAAGAGAAATTAGAGAAAAACATAAATTCAAAATACCCATGATGAGCATGAAATCTTGCGACCTCCCACAGTCTCATAGCAGTCAACCTATCAATCACCCCTATTTCTCAGTCAAAAGCCAGAACTAAGGAGACTGAGAACAAACAAAAACCAAAGCACAAGTGATTACCTCGGTTGTCAAGACCACCTGTCTCTCCCTGAGCTCCCTCTTCCATTGTTTGCTGGTTCTCTCTGGGGCGATGACCTTCATTTAAAATGTTTTTTAAATATTTTAAGGTACCTCTTTTCTCACCTTCTTCACATTCTCTTTCCAATCCCCAATTCATTTCAGTGCTACTCACACTCACTTTTTATTTTGAAAAGCTACTCTATTTCAAAGTTTAGGGGAAAAAAAGAAGTATCCTTCTAAGGGAATTCCCCTTGTCGAGTGGCCTAAATTAAATTTCAAGAATGAACGCTGAAGTGATTCCAAGTACTGATAGAACTGTTCTCTGCTATTCAGATTCAAATAACTAGACTATGAGCACAGATCAAATCCCTGCTTGGTTTCACCTCAGGCCTCCTGAAACGACAACAGG